ATTTATTTATTTATTTATTTATTTATTTATTTATTTATTTATTTATTCATTTATTTATTTATTTATTTATTTATTTATTTATTTATATGTTTAATTCAAAGTTTTGATCAGTCAACTGTTATGATTATGTTTGATAATTAGTGGAAATCTTTCAGGATTGTATTAAAATATTTGCATACTAACACAGAGGCACACATACTCTTACACTTAATACTTGCTTCAGGAGATAATTAGTAGCATAAACACTATGGTAGTAGGCAGTAATGCAAGAGGGTGCACGGGTGTGTGAGTCTGAGTGTGTGTTGCATGCATTGCTGCCTGTGTTTGGAGATAACAACCTGCTGACCATCTGTGGCTCTCTTGCCTTCTGCCTGGCTGATCCAAATCACACTAAGGCAAAGAATCACAGAAGAGCAGGCGAGAAAGAGAAAACGCATAAGTCAGCATGGCAGGCTTTTAACTCGCAGGACCACATTGTCTCAGAGATGATCAAACTTTCAGGATGAACACAGAGAACTCTCAAGGACATTCAGAGCCAGAAACAATACATCCATCTCAGTGCAGCAGGGCAGAGGGTCCGGGTTGGGTTTTTACAACTTTGAACAGCAGCTGCTGCCTCTTTGGTCGCTTTCAGTTTTTATTTGGATAACACAAAAATCTAAAGAGCAGGATTTCATAAGGGAATTTGTGCGGTACCAATAAAACGGTTTAATCTTCTTCGAAGAGTTGCAAAGAAAGTGTAATGCCCCCAGAGTTTTCTCTTTTAATATCTGGGATTGAAGAAAACAAGCTAAGTTGACATAATTAGAATGAACTAATAAAAAAAAAGGCAAATGTGAGATAACTATCAGGGGAGAGGAAACCTGAATTCGGTGCATTGAGTAAGACCTATCTGATATTTGACTTATCAGGACATACAAAATAATCATCTATTTCTGAATACCATTCAGACATAGGTTAATTTCTGATAAACAAGAAATTAATCAACCATTACTAGTTGAAGCACTTCTGTAAATACAGATATTTTTTCTGTTTTCAGGTTTGAAGCAAGTGTGTACATTTCTCACATCTCTTGCGATTAAATATCTGTTCATTTAAAGCCTGCTATTTGGAAACTTGGCTTTTCTTTTTTGTAGATACACTTTTCTTCGTAAAGGTTTAAAAGTTATATTGGAGATAGGAAGCAAAAGTGAAGTCATACAGACAAAACGTAAATATGATACATCAATCTGTGTTATAACATTTTAAAAGAATAGTTTTTGTTTTTGCAATGTGTGCTACAGTAAGGCCTGACATTAAGATTTTGATATTCCGGTCATACTTTAAATTGATACCTAGTTTTTAGACTTAAAATGTTTAATACAGCCGGGAAAAATATTTCAATTCTTTAAGATCCTTTTAATTTTCCAACCTGAGTGACCCCTAAAGGACATTCAATTTATCTGGATTTGCCCTTTGTACAAGAAAATTATTTCAAAATGTAACTGCTCCAGCCTCAAAGTAAACAGATAAATAACATTCTTCTAATCCTAATCACAGCAATATGAACAAATGCGTGAGATGAGAGTTTTAAAGGGCTTTCTGACAGATGATCTGGCATGAACTGTAAAGTTAGTGCTGGACAATGGGCTTATGGCTGTGTACCCCAAAAGTAGAAAGGGAAAGGGAAAAGAAGGAAAGGTTGACCAACTGAGCAACCAAGGCCAAAGCAAAACCTTCAGGTTTGAAGAAAATGATCCAGTTAAGTGACATTTAAGTCATCCCGAGGAATTGCATATAACTCTTTTTGAATAAACGTGTAAACAGATTTAAATTTGATAAGACAGATTTAAATGTATAAAATAAACTTTAAATTTTTATTTCAGCACAGAGAGCATTATTCCTTTCCATTTTTTTAGGGACTGAAGCCAACACAATATAATCTGATATGGGACCCTCTCATCAGACAATACTGACAAAATCTCAAAACAAACTTAATTACAGAGTCGTTGCTTTTTTACTGGCAACTTGACCGTTACAAAGACAGTTTTTAACAAACACAGTGGGGCTTCTTTTTTATTGCTACCCCTTGGTCTGTCCATAAAAAACTTCTTTAAATTTCTTATCTAGATAGGATTAAATCCAAATCTGAGCACTTAAAAAACGGGGGGAAAAGCTCATGTTTAACATCCGCAATTGAGTTTTATCATAGAATATAATTTCAACTCTCTTCAGTTTCCCCCGCCATTCACAAAAGGCGGTTCAACTTCTGCTCAGCAATGCAAATTATAAAATTGTGTGGGAAAAAACTTTCTTTTGAAGGCAACAAGACTGTGCAGTTATTCATCGTTTCTTAGAATGAGATATGAAGAATCTTTTTAAAATAAAGCAAATAACACAGCCTCTCAGCAAGCGTGAAAATAAGTACTCAACAGGAGGGAGACATAACCACTCAATCGTCTCCTTGACAACAGAACCGAATCATTATTACTTTGAAGCTGGATGTCTGGTAGGGAAGAAAAAAAAGCCAGGCAGAGGAACCTGAGGGTCTTTCAGTGGCTCAAAGACTTTTCCCAGAGACGGTCACTGAAAGGCGAGGGGTCTTGCTTCCTATTCTGCAGTGCTCCCACTCAGCTCGGAGCTCAGGATTCATCAACACAATGTCCGTCCAATGGAGGTTCATTACTGCCCAGATTAGCCCCCTGCTTTAGAGATCAGCAATCCAGCTTTCAGAGAGCCCATTGAGCCACGCTCTAAACACTGAAGACTCACAAGCTCACGCTTGTTAAGCTGATGTGGAGTTAATAATCAGTCTGGGTTCATTTATTAATTTATTAGCTGTGCCAGAGAAGTCAAAGTTCATAAAGTCTTTTGCCCAAAATTTTATTCCACTTCTTTTATTTGTCAACTGACCTATCTAATGTAACTTCTCCCTGTTTGTCTTGCAAAGATTCGACGTTCATATGCAGTTTCTAAATGATCTTTATGATCTTTCCTGGCTTGAATAAACGTCAATGGTAGAAATTAAAACGGCAGAACACAAGCATGTCTATTAAATGCCTTACATGTTCCACAGAATGTTTTTTTTTACATAAAAAATGACATATATGACATCCACTGGCAATCCACAGCCCCTCTAACCATGCTGAGGTCACTAATAACACCGATCTGTCATGTGGGCATGTTCCGCCTCTCGGCCATTGTACACCTCGCAGCAAAGCTATCTGATAACAGAGATCGTTATTCTATAGATGTTGGAACAAGCTTCAAAATGCCATCTGAGTGGGGACATTCCTCTCTTTCTTCAGACTTGTCTCCTCAGGGAACGCCCCATCTCTTATAAAAGTCCAAACATTGGCTCTTGAAAGATTATGCTTCAGAGAAGAAAGGCACTTTTAAAAAAGTATAGAAAAGTCTGTGAACATATATTCCTTGGAGCTGATTTTTTACTTTTGTCACAGAATAAATATACAAAAGTTTTGTGAAGTTATGAAAAAAAGAACACCCGAACTGTCACTGCGGTTAATCCCTCCCAGCAGCTCAAACCTCATAACCAACACTGCTCCCAACAAAACCCAGCTCACAAAATTATTTACATCCCTGCTGTTATTTTCCTATTTTTTCCACAGTCTGTACATTTTTTTCAATTAATATATTCTGTAAATTTGTTCCTTTTCCGCCAAACTGTGTTCAGTTGCACATCATATTTCTTTATTTCTTCAGATGTTTTAAAATTACATTTAATATGCAGCCTCTTGTTTTTTTATGTTATTTAACCTTATAATGCCAAATGTGTCATATTTGATTCATACGGTTTCTGAAGTCTTTTGGATCTGAGACTTTTTGTATCATTCAGTGGTAAAAGCTTTGTTCAAACCCCTGTTGTACACATTCAGATATACCTGATAACAGTCAGTAGAAGACCACACCAGAATATATTTTTGACTTATTGCACGCTAATTTGATCAAAATAATTTCTGTTCTTTTTCTTCATATGTTGTTGAGGGGCCAAAGAAAGACTTCAGACTAAAAAAATCCAATATTCTTCCTATTGTTCTTGGATCAGGCTTTAAAGGGTTAATATTTTCTTGAAAACTAGATCATACAGGCTACACAAAGATTTGACAATCCTAACAGAGATAAGTACTACAGTTGCATGTCTCCCTGACCACAGGCATCTGTCAGTCCAGTATTTCTGTTCCAGTGAGATAAACATTCTGATATCCAGATAAATGTTATACCTGATTTCCCTAATCCAGCGACACAGGAACGCCTTGTATTTAGACATTCAGTTTAAGCTTTAGAGCTAGGTAATGTGACACAGACAGGTCTGTAGCACACTTAATATTTTATTTATTGATCAGCCAAAGAAAAGCTAATTTAGCGTCACAGCGATTTAGAGATGTGTGCTATGTGTTATGAACAATGCCTCCTTTGGAGACTTGATGGCATGAAAATGGGTCGAAGACAAGCACAGCTCAGACCCAAAAGAAGTTGTGTAAGCGATTAGTTTCTCCAAATGTCAAAAATGTACAAGTACTGTCAACGGCTTTGGGTTTTTTCTTGAGTAGAACGCTTGTGACATGATAGAACAGTTGACCTGTAAATGTCAAAATGTTTTACCTCAGAAGATAGAGGCAAGTTCAAGAGTAATGGAAGAAGAGAGTAAAAAAAGTTTTTAAAAAATCTTACAGACTTTCTAAAATGTAGAAGTAGTAGTTTTGTTTCATGTGGAAGTTTCAGCCTCCTTTCCTTCATTCTTAAAATATTTAAACTGTGTTAAACTTTTAGGGTATGCATAAGAAGAATGTTAAGACAGATAGAGAGTATGTAGTAAAATGTGGCACTTAAATATCACCATGAATGGTGAAATATGAGAAAGGTTCTACATTTGTATCTATAAGGTACTGAATTAGGAAAAATTCAATCCTGTGTAATATTTGAGCTCTCCTTGCTAAAAAAAAAAAGTGCACAGAGCATTGTTTATATAAAATGGTCTTTCATAACATCTTATTGACAAGGAGCAGGGTTTACATATTTTGGAAAATCATTTTGACATTTTGAGTGTTCAATCACTGCCTTTGGGCAAACTTCCAACATCCTCCTGTAGCCCAAAAGATTGGAGTGGTGTTTTAAAACCATTGTGCTCCTGAGCATTATCACTTATTGTCAGTCTTTTTAAATTAAACAGCAGTGAGCACTTGATTTAAAAAGCTCAGTATGTAGTGTTTTTTTTATAATTTAGTTCATTTTCCGAGACAAAAAGAATGTTGAACTTCTCTAAAAAAAAAAATCCTTCTTTTTTTTCCAGACTAAGGGGTCACACTGACCTCAATCGAATGGAATATTTTTCTTAAGTTTAGAAAGTTTGGTTTTGCAGTTCCAGACTTGCCCAAGAATAAACATAAGCGACATAAATAATCAAATTCTTTCTAAGCTAATGAAGTTAAGATGTTTGACCAAAGCAGTAATTCACATCTAAATTGTGACATTTGGAAAGCATTAAGTTGCTCAATAAATAAAAAACATGAACTGTGAAGTTTACATCCACTCGTCCACTTTTCATACCTGCTGAGTGATCCGAACTTGCAGGAGGACGTTTGTGTAGCTGTAGCCGTCGTTGACCTGCAGCACCACGACATCCTCAGCTCCCTCCGAGCCGTCGTGAATGTACTGGACCTGTTCCCGGGACAGCTCCTCCAGCTTGAATTTGGTCAGCGTATGGTCATCGTGGAGACGGGTCAGCCGGCCGTGACGGGGAGGCACGAGGACCATGACCAGGACGTCGGCCGGATTATCCGGGTCTTCGATGTGCAGGGTTGACTTTGTGATGGTTGCCAGACCACCGCGGCCATCCACAGGTAAAGATGAGAGGGTCACCACTCTCGGAGGCTGGAAATAATTTGAACAAAACTAATTTTAGTTTAAAAATTAGATTTTTAGAAGCAAACAGTTTCACGGTATACGCAGGATCATTGTATTTGATCCCTTTAAAGCCTAATCCAAGAAAAAAAGAGACAATTTTTTTTTAAGTCTTTATCCGCCCCTCTAAAATATGAAAAAAAACTATCATTTTTTACTATTCATAATTTATTACCATGCGATAAATCAAAATCATTGCCTTTTAGTCTTCTGCCAGCTTTTTTCAGGGACATCTGATTGTATACAACAGGAGGTCGAGCAAGTTTTTATCATTCTAAGATGCAAAACATTTCAGAAACTGTACATATCAAATAGGAAAGAATATTGCATTAAATGTTTAAAAATGGCTAAGATCACAGTGAGAAGGCAGCACTTCCTCTTAAATATTCCAAAACTGTCAGAAGATGCATTTTCTGGCAGCGTGGGACTGCAGTGACCTGCTGTCAAAGGAAATAAAGGTGAAGGCCCGCAAGAGTTTAAGCAGGGATCTTTATTAAACTGCTCTCTGCAGTGCCTGACAGCCTGTTGAAGTTGCAAAAATCTGCATCCCACAAATAAAGTCTAAGAAAACCGGAGATCTACTGTTTTGAGACAGGGTACAGCTCTGTTTGCATTTCCACTTTTTTGTTTGTAATAACCTGATATATCGTCAAAAGTGCAGAAAGGGGATGATAAGTTATTTCTTGATAAACAGGTCGTTAAAACTTTGACTCTATAGTCTTTTAGAAATATTTCATGTGTTATTTTAAATTAAAATTATGAGAATAGTCAGTTGCAAACTGACTGAGAATGACTGAGTAAGCATCTTATTATATAAGAAAAGATTTTATGCAAAAACAGCCAATTTGTATTGTATTTTCCTAAGCCAAAGACGGTACATGTTTGAACCAGTGGTGTTCATGTAGGAAGTGCTTAACTGAGAGCTCCTCTTAGAAAAAAAAATTGCTTTTCAAGACATTAGGATAGAAAATGCCAACAAAACTGTTAGTTTGCTTTCACGCAAAATCAAACTGCACAATGCACAGTGTGCATCCAGCGTGCTGTTATTGTTGGAGACTGGCTAAAGCCCCAGCTTTTTGATATTACAGACAAGATCAGGATGTCCCCGGGGAAAAGGTGGATTCAGCTTTGGTCATCCGGACACGCTTGCCCAGCATAGTTTTGATCCAGAGTCACTTTGACTCGACTTCCTCAAACAAGAAAGCTGAGAAACAGTAAGGGAGCACATTTTTTATCTGCAGTTGCTTCTCCTCTTAGCTGTTTGGAAACCAAAACGTTTAGTCTGTCAGATGTTAAAGAATGACTTAGCCCCTGGTGCCCACCATGCTGGTGGTGGCTGAAGGTGCCTTACAACAGTGCTGCAATATGCTATCTTTGTAAAGGTAAAAACTGAAATGTTCCCCTGAGGTGAACAAAAACAAACACATGCGGTTTCAGGTGGGAGGACCACGTTTTTATCCTTTGACCGAGGGGCGAGGTTTGGTGGAATTGACAAGGCTTCGCAACACGTCGAGGACGGTGCTTATTCGTGCTGTTTTCTTACATCATTGGTCGTTCACTCTTGGTTTAGTTTTACTAGCTGTGGTCTTGGCTGGATGGAGACGGACTTCTCTGTCACAATGGGAAGATTGGAAACACTTTCCAAGTCTCAGTGTGGCTGTAAGGCTGATGCTTTCTAACCGTTCACCGTTCATCAGCTGCTCTCAGCTCATGGTTTTGTATAAAATTTGAAAAAGGGTTAAAAAACAAAAAAAACGCTTCTTAGAGCCAGCAAAACTCTATTTCAAGTTGGGGCAAAAACTCATTCTTATTTCACTGAGCAGTACGAAAATTTATCAATAGAGGTAAAAAGAAGCAAAAGGAGCTCATGACAAACATACCAACCTACCATGATATAATGAATCATGTTATATCATATATATATATAGAATTTTCAATTTGTTTATTTTAATTCAAATTTTAGAAATACAGAATAGTATTATTTTAATCTCAGCCCTTTTGTTTTTTTGTTAAAAAAACTAAATTTCCTTTGGTTACAGTCAATCAGCTACTTAATAAAGCAACATTTCTATTTGGTGGTTGTATATTTTGTGATGAACAAGTTAGACAGAAAACAACATTAAAATGACCTTGTGATTACAATGCACACAAGACGGTAAACAATGAAATCTTTTAAAGATATCATTGCTTGTTTCTCCATCTCACATCCTATTATAATCAGTTCTTAACAGTAGGATTTCACATTCAACCCGTCAGTGTTTTAGAACTAAAGATGGGAAAATATTGTCCACTGGTCACCGTCAACAATGATGCATTCCTATATATTTAGCCTTTAGATCATCTCTTTACACAACATCTGGGTGCATTCCACAGTAAACAACACCCTCAAATGACACCTCACTTAGTCTAAGAATACAACACTGCCACACATACTGAACAGTATTTAGATGCTCTTTGTGAGATGTATGTTTATCACAAGACAAAGTGACGTGTTCCCATTGTTGTAGTCCCTATGAAAATGACAGTGTACATCAAGATGTTTTGTTCCCAATCAAGCTGTGTCTGAGCCTGGTCTTTGACAGTGAAGGTCTTGTTTTTTAGTTGCCTAGAGTCAGTAGTGATAGTGTCAATAGTGTAATTCATAAGTCGGCATAAACATTTTTTTCATTAATGTTTCAATTGAGATTGAAGATATTTTCTGAACATTTTTTTAACTCTACATTCATCACGAGTTCCTGAACAAAAGAACATTATTGATGGATGTTCATATTTTAAGAAAATATTCTAATCTGTTTGCCATCCGACGCCTTTAGCTGGCAGCCCCTGTTTTTTGTTCAGACTCGTTTTGAGCTGCGTCAGGCATCACACCAGCTCATCATCAAATCTCAGACAGAGAAAGAGAAGTTCATTATTTTGTGTATGCCAGAATCAGAAGCCAGGTCGAAACCAGCGGAAAGCAGGGTGTCAAGCTGACATTGGACAGTCATAGCCCTGGCATAATTTCACAGAGTGGAACAAATCAGTGAGAGATATCCATTAGCAAGAAGGATGTAGCAAAAAAAAAATCATTTAATTGAATGGATTCACTGTGGTCATATGCTGATTGTGAGTCTATGTATTTATTTTTAAAATGTATCTATTTTTTATTGTTTCATTGTTCTGGTATCAAACTATCTATTAACAATAGGAATACCAACAAAATTACATTTAATTTCCCTTTTGGGTCGGATTCACATAAATAAATGGTCTTCAAAATAAAAAAAATTATTTTTTCAAATGTACTAATGTTCCAACATGAAAGAGATATCTGTAGGACATTTCTTTTGGATTCAATAGAAAATAGATGGACATGGTCATGCGACTGTGTAATTGTAAGAGACACCGATACCTAATGTGTTTCAAAGTTCTAAGCGTATTTGTTTCTGTGGATTTAATAAAAAGGAAACGCGTTTCCATTTATCTTTTATGTGACTCTAAAATAGCAGGAAAAACACTAAGGGGTCCATGCAACAACAATGACATCGAGCCCTCAAAGCTGACCTTAATAACTAGAGGAAAAAGGATTGATTCTATCTCAATAAAGTGAGACCTCCTGCAGAAAAAAACAGCCATTTAAATATAAAAAATGAGAAGTGGTTTTAAAGGATCATAGTTAAAGGGTCCTCCAGGCTCTTATATGTTGTTTTGATCAAAACAAGTTGGATTACTGAAAATATCAACAGACGCCCTATGAGGAGTCAAATGATCTTTTAAGACTCTTGCATCTTATTGTCTTGCAACAGCATAAAAATACTTGTAACAAATATGACTAAAGGTTTGTTCATTCTTATCCGATAATATGAACAAATATGTTGCTAGATAACTGGTGTGTGGTCACATGCAGATGATTTGCCTTAAACTGGAAAATTATCACATAAATATACACTTTCCAAACAAAGATGGAATCTGACATTCTAACCTCAGACAACAGGCAAAACACAAAGTTTTTTTTTTGTAAATGAACAAAAATGCAGTCATTTGCGATGCTGCCATTTTCAGTCTATGGGTATAACAATAAACCTTTTTGCCTGATCTGAAAAGTATTTCAGTTTCCGTGAGAAATCAAATGCAAAGACCTTATTAAAGAATCTGTATACCTGCATTGAAATAGCTTGAACTTGAACTGTCGCTGGATCTGAAAACAGCTGGGGGTCACCAACACGTAAGGTGAACTCGCCAGTCCTGTTAAAAGAAAAGAAAGAAAACAATAGAGAGAAAAAAAACAATATTAGCTTTGAAGAGTTCAGTTTCTGTCTTTCACATAATCACTTTAGATAAGCATGATACAGTAACAGGATTTAGGCTGGGAGGTGTCTGTGAAGTAATTAGACAGATGAGACCAACAAAGTTTGCAGTCATTAGATATACTGTAATCCACTCACAGCTATCTGCTATAGTGATTATGTGAGGACACACACCAGTCCACCTGCTCACATAGCTATCACCAATATGTCACCACACTTCCTCGACATCATCGAAAGTGTATTACCCACATCTCCTTTGTGGCTGGAACCTACAATCAACCAGTTGTAAATTGAGTCCAAGTGACAAGCTAAGTGTTTCCAGCAGCCGCACAAATACAATTCATAGTGAAATCATTTTATAAACATTACAAAAACTAAATCTGTTTTCTAAAAAATACTCAAACACATAAAAATGACTCTGTTATAACTACAAATGTCACACTTGTTATTTGCCCACAGAAAAATCTTCTTCTCATCAGCAGAGATAGTGGAGGTGATATGAACTGATACAGAAAAATGCTAAAATCATAGAAAAGGTGTCAATTTTGTGGACAAAAAGCACTAAATGAATAGAATGAGTATTACTTTCAGTGTGAGTCTTTATTACAGGAATATCCAAAGATTTATGATTTAAAAGTAAGTTATTTCTTTTTTGACAGACTTAGTTCAAGAACAATTTTACTTGTT